ACGCCGCGGAGTTTGACGCCGCCCAGGTTCTGCAGCTACTGCCGGGCACCTGGTCGGTGCAGCTGCTCTGCCCGTTCCTGACGGGCGCCGTGCGGGACAGCACCCACACCAGGAGGACTGCACAGGTGGCGCTCGGCCTGGCCACGTCGGAGAACCTGATCTATAAGCACGACCAGGTGAGAGCCAGGCGCCTCCGGACGCGGGTGTTCTGTGTGGCGTGTGTTTTGCCTGGGGAATATTCTGTCAGTGTTTCCTCTGCAGCGTCAGGCTACGTTCCGCTCGGAGACGCCTGTGCGGAGCGTGTTCTCCCCTCTCCAAGACCATGGTCAGGAAGGCAGGTGCACGTTGTGCTCCTGGTGCTTTGCCGCACTTGTCATCGTGACATCACTTCCTCGTCACAGCATTTGAATGCAGTACTACTATTGTCTCCGTTTCACAGGAGGGGAAACTGAGGCACAGAGCAGTCACGTCAATGGAAGAGCCAGGCGTGCATCCCAGCCCCTCGGAGCGCCACATCTTGTCCCTCTGTCACTTAACTCGGGCTGCCCTAGCAAATGTCCCCTCAGGTTAGACAGCAGCGCTTGTTTCTCACGTTACAGGGGCTGGGAGTTGAAGATGTGTGGCCGGCAGAGTCCCTGCCTGGTGCGGACTCCCTGGCGCGCCCTGTGTCCTCTCGCAGCAGAGCAGCCTGGCCTCTCCCTCTTCTGACGGCCCTACTCCCATCCTGGGCGCCCACCATGGCCTCGTCTGACCTTAGCACCTGCCACAGGCCCCACCCCCAAGTACCATCACATTAGGAATTAGGGCTCCAACGTATGAATTGGGGGGCACAATTTAGTCTGCAACAGCCCCCCACCTTTCCTCCCTTTGGAGACCCCTCCGTGGGAGGAGCAGTCTCCCCAGAGCAGGAGCCAGCCTGTCCCCCTTGGAAGCGTCATTGGCTCCCGGAAGAGGTCGATGCCTGGACGATTCCATCTCACCTCTTCGGCCGTCATGGCTTGCCAGGACGTGTGACACCCCCCAGGGTGACACGCTCTCCACATGTATGGCCTTCGTTCCCACCGTTCTCTCTGCCGGGGTGATCTCACCTGTCCCTTCGTATCTGGGGACCACCTGCAGGAAACCCGGCCAGGTGCTGCCCTGGTGGAACCTTCACACCCCTCAGCCGGTTAACCATTCTGAGCATGCCTTTCATAATTGCTTGGTTCCTTGAGAGCAGGAAGTGTCATTTATGATCTCTAGAGCCAAGCCAGGCGTCCCGAGGGCACTGAATAAATGTCGGAGTACTGATGACACTAATGTGTCTAAGGTGAACTCACCAAGTTGCTGCTCAACCTCCAACCAGCTGCCGTGTGGGCCGCAGGGAATTGTGCAGAAAGGCTCTTAGCTGGCGATGGAGTCACAGCTCAGGCTTGTTAGTACCTTAAGGAAAGAAAATTGTCCTAGGACGTCAGGAATGTGCCACTAACCAGCCCTGTGGCTTTGACCAGGTGCCTTGTTTGCGCCTTCCTCTGCTTGTGTGTCGGTGAGCGGCCCCGGGAAGCGAGGGTGGGGCGGCCTCATCCAGCTCTAAGGGCACCACGGTCAGCAGGCCTCGCCGGAGTGCGCCCGGGCTCGCAGAGCGTCCGAGGGGCCATCTCGGTGGGATGCCTCCGCCAGACAAGCACCAATGATGTTTGTAAAATAAGAAAGGGGTTTGTTTCGAGGCTCTTTGTGCTTCCCCAGTTACTAAGGCTGTGTTTGTTATTTTCACTTCAATACTGTGTTTCAGGAAGTTGATATTAAAGCAGTGCTCATCAGTAACAGTGGTCCCTGGGGTCAGGCGTGTCTGAAAGACTGCACAGCAACATGTGAGAACCTGTCTTTATTTTCGCAGATGAAGCTGAAAAGAAGCTCCTTCCGGCTCTCAGACAAACAGCTGTGCCAGGTGTGCCACAGTCCCTTCTGCGAGCCAGTGTTTGTTAGATACCCAACCGGTGACCTCGTCCACACCCACTGTGCTGCCAGCAGACACACGAACCCCAGCGCCCCCCGCCCCGGCGCTCGGACTTGAAGGGGCCGCCTGGGCGCCAGGGGGACCTCGAGTTCTTCGCACACCAAGCCTGCCCAGTGCAAGGAGCAGAACGCGGCGGCGCTGTGCCAGCCAAGACAGAGGCGACGTCTCGGTGCCCGGGAGGCTCCGTCTGTGTGAAACAAGTCCTCTTCCCTGCTGACCAGTCGGCATTGAATGTAAACAGGAAACCCAAAAGGAGAGACGTGCTCGTTCGCCCGCCTAGACACACGGTTGTCCACTTGGACGGATAAGTGAGCCTTCCGGGTGCACCCCCACAGGCTGGCGCCCACACCACGTCAGGCACACACTTGCCGGGACAGTGGCTTCAGGTGGCAGCAGGTGACCCTCTCCCGCCCGGCGAGTGGCCAGGGCAGGGTCCTGTGTGGGCAGATTTCACGTCGCACTTCTCCCGCGTGGTGCGTGCTCCGTCCATGGCACAGTGGCTGCTTCCCGATGACCTCGGGCCTCTGCTCTTGCCCTTGGCTGGCCTGGGAGGTGTGTCCGTTCCCTCCTGCTTCCCTTCTGGCTTCTAGCAAGTGAACACCACTACGAAACTGATGACGGCCGAGAGAGGGGCTGCCTGCCCGTCTGGACGACGGCAGAGACAGGGAACTGTGGGGACAGGGCCCATGCGTGCGCCCCTCACTGCCGGCGTCTGCTGGCCTGAAACTCCACGGTCAATGTGCTTGACTAAACATTTTTATTTGAAGTTATATTGTCTTTGTAATATTTCTCTTATTTAGAAAATCATCTGTCGTATTTGTTAGGGATGTTTTTCTTGTTAAATGTACCTCCTATTGAATACTTGGGAAGTTAAAAGGGAAACAATGAGCACAAACCGAGCGTATGTTCAGGCGAGGCCGGCTTCCCCTCGTGCTCAGCTGGGCAGGCATGGGCGCTGCCGCTGCACGTGGGGAAGTGGCGCCCTCCCTGCAGGTCATGCCACACCCTTAGAGGAAGCCCAGCCCGCTGCCTTACCTCCAGCACTTTACATGCCTGCTCTGAGGTTTCCTGCTCACAGGGAAATGAATGCTGTCGGTCCCAGACTGCAGATTCGTTCTGTGGTTACTGCACTGCCCTCTCGGATTTCTTCATTTTGATGACTGATTCTGTTAGGAATGAACAATAAAGACACTGTACCCCATGCAAGGCTTGCAAGCAAGCATCAGCGTCTGTGAGAAGAGAACCTGGAACACGCCCTCCCTCAGCCTCAGCCTTACGGAGGGGGATGAAGAGCCCACTCCAGTCTTTAAAAACGTCTTCTGCACTAGCAGTGGTCAGCGTTCCTTTTCCTTCGTGATGCCAACTGGGCCAAGAAGGCAAAGGCATCCACGCTTTCTTTCCTAACTAAGTCTCGGTGAGCTCAACAGGAGATAATGAAGGAATTCTGCCTGCAACGCGGCCATGTGCTGTTACTCGGGGTGGACACAAAGCCCGGCCAGGAGCTGCCTGCGGATGGCTTGCAGAATCACCATATTACTGTGCATATCACCGTTCAACTTGTGTGCTTGGATTTACTCCTCGAAGAACGGACGGCTAGTCCATGCAATATGCACTTTGCAAAGCACTGTTTCTACTCAGAATGGGTAAAATCTTGAAAACGTCTTGTGATTGCTCATTTCTAACTTGGGGCCACTCGTCTCTTTTTTCCCTGCACATTGATCAATACTTGGAAATGTTTTTTTTTCCTTTAGAATAATGGGAATTGGAGTTGAACAGTTTTCCAGCTCTCCCAGATCCTCGAAGACAGGCAGAATTCTGTGACACTGCAGAATTGTCTCCTGTGTTCAAAACCTTTCTCTAATCTTTCTCGAACTCCCACAAGGCTCTTTCCTCAAATCATATTTTGAAAAGAAATACATGTTCTTTCGACAGGCCTGCTGCGTTGTGACCGTGCTGTTGGACAGAGCAATTGGAAGCACCACTCAGCCCCCTTTCCCTCCAGGTTCTGTGTAACCATTCTAGTTAAAACAGCATGAACTGAACTCGGTTGTCATTTTATGTTCTGTGGGCAAGACTGTCTAATTTTATGGCCTGTGTATCTGCTGTTGCCTGTCGAGAATTAACAGGGGGTGTGTAGGCTGTGTGGCACGGGCCTGGCTCAGCCCTGGGAAGCTGTGCTGGAGGGAGGGGCCTCGGCCACACCATCGAGCGATGCCTGTCCACACAGCTGGGGTAGCCCTTGCTTTCTGCTCACTCTCCTATGGAAACCATTGTCCTTGCAACTCTATCCTTTGCCCCTGGTTGGGTCCCAAATACACAAGATGTACAAATGTAAACTTGATTTTATTAAAATTCTTTTAATTCTTTGTCCTTTCTGTAGTTATTTTTTAAAAAAATAAAATTCTCTTGATAAAGGGAGGGTGTCCACTCTCCCGGTGGTGCCTAGCCTACGAAGTTCCAGAGCTCACGCCTCCATGCCTGGGGCTCCTCCCGGCACCGACAGGATTTTCACGGCACCCCTTAAGGGTTTTGTTACTTTACCAAATTTTAAATGACCCACTTCTCAGTTTATCTCCTGCACACTCTTAGGTTGCTCCTTGAAAACCCCTTCAGATACATTGTGCCCTGAGGGGTGAATGGAGGTTTCTGGTTACTTCCGACATACTTTACCTTTTAGCTAAACACTCTTAAGTAAGCCTCCTGCCCTTGCATTTCTAATCCTCAATGTATTCAAGGAATAGAACCTTTAAAAAATTTCACCTTTTAAATGTTGATTTCCCTCTTAGAACCCTGTTCATAGAAGGTCTGGGAAGTTCTGTGGAGTGACTTTGCTGGGCACCCTCTCTCACCCAGGCCTGGCCCCTCCCAGCAGTGTCGAAGGTCTGGGAAGTTCTGTGGAGTGACTTTGCTGGGCTCTCTCTCTCTCTCTCAATCCCTCATCCAGGCCTGGCCCCACCCAGCACTGTCCTGGGCTCTCTCTCTCTCATCCAGGCCTGGCCCTGCCCCGAGCACAGGGTGAGCTGACATAGGCCAACTGTTCTGTGCTCGGGCTGGTAGGGGGAGGTGCACGAGTCATCCATATTTCAAGGTGAAGAAACTGCGGCAGGGTGTTGGGTGGTTGTCTTATGGCTGAGGCACACCAAGCCAGAGCTCTGCCCCACGGGCGGTTCCCTGCCTGCTGCTGCACCAACCACAAACAGAAGCAAAACCAGGAACCAGCCCAGGGTTGACTGTTCCTGCAGAAAACCCTGGGGCAGAAACGTGGCTGCTCTTTTTACATTTCAACGTCATTGGTATTGGGTGGTTCATTCGCATGTTAGGGATGAAGAGGGGGCGCATAGGCTTACACACACCTGACCAGACTGGAGAGGTTGTGGACTCACACTGCCTGTCCCGGTGGCTGAGTGAGAGAGTGAATTGATGGACGGAGAGATGCGCCGACGCAGTTAAATGGGCCGCAGCAAGAAGGGGTTACAAAGCAACACACGGCTCAACAGGCCAGCGGAGGCTTGAGAAGTAACATGTTATCACGAGGTTTCGGGGAACCTGGTCTCTGGCTCCACCAGCCACTGTGGTCCTGGGAAAGTCACACCTCAGAGGTAGAGCAGGTGGTGTCTGAGGACCCTTCAGGCCAGCCTTTGACACCAAACGCTGCCCCACAGGTTCTTGGGGCTCTCCGGGCAGCACCCAGCTCAGAAACTGGGCTGCAGGGTCCCCCTGGCTGTGTCTGAGCTCTTGGATCTCAACCCCCAGATCTCAACCCCCGGAGTCCAACACCCAGATCTCAACCCCCAGATCTCAACTCCTAGGTCTCAACCCCCAGAGTCCAACCCCCAGATCTCAACCCCCCAGATCTCAACCTCCAGATCTCAACCCCCGGAGTCCAACACCCAGATCTCAACCCCCAGATCTCAACCCACAGATCTCAACCCCCTAGATCTCAACCTCCAGATCTCAACCCCCGGAGTCCAACCCCCAGATCTCAACCCACAGATCTCAACCCCCAGAGTCCAACCCCCCACGTCTCAACCCTCAGGTCTCAACCCCCAGATCTCAATCCCTGGATCTCAACCCCTGGAGTCTTGCTGTATTGCAGAGACTAGGAAAGTGCCTCTGTGGCCACCACCTGCCGGTTTCAGAGTTGCCATCTGCAGCTGCGAGAGGAGCTGGTCTGTCTGAGCCTTTCCAATAGCTGGCTTTCAGGCACCCCTCTGCCAGCATTTTCCAGTCTTGGCTACACGAATCCCTTTGCCTTTCCTCATGGCTCCCACAGTCCCTCACCATTATGGCCATCTTTCCCCAGAGAACGTTTTCTGTTCGCTTCACTTGAAATGCTAGTTTTTCCCTTTCAGCTTCCATTGGTGTTGACTGGGCTGGGGAGGCGGATTCCCAGTGTGAGCGGGGCCACAGAGCATGCGCACATCGCTGCCCTCAGCTGGCTCTTGCAGCCCCGTGAGTTTATGACCCAGCCAGAGCAACAGGTGCACCCAGTGGGCTGGGGTGGGCTGTCGCCCCCACTTCCGCAGCCCGCACATTACAGTAAGACCCCAAACTCGTTCTAAACTGCTCTTCAATACATTGCTGACCTGCAGTAACTGTTGACTTCAGCTCAGAAATAAATATAACGGAAATGCTAAACTCTGCTTTCTCGAGAGTTAGAGTGACAGAAGCATGGCTGCGGTTGAGGTTTACACTGCTAACGGCATTTGATTTCACTTTGATTTCAGTGGTTCTCAACCTGTGGGTCGCGACCATCGGATAACACATATAGCATATCAGATATGTACATTACGATTCATAACAGTAGCAAAATTACAGTTATGAAGTAGCAACGAAAATAATTTTATGGTTGGGGGTCACCACAACATGAGGAACTGTATTAAAGGGTCACGGCATTAGGAAGGTTGAGAACCACTGTTTTAGAGAAACAATAAAATGTTACAGATGAAATATGTTATATTGGGAATTTGCTTCAAAATAATCAGGGAAAGGAAAATGGACAGTGGATTGGATGAAAGAAGATGGACCATTATCAATACAGATTAACCATGTATTGATAGTTTTTAAACTGGTTCATTATTATTATTTACTAGTGTCCTGGTGCACAGATTCGTGCACATTGAAAGGAAATTAATTAGAAGAAATATTTTAATATCGCTATTCGCGTTTTGCTAATGCAAAGAAAATAGGATCCTTTTTAAAAAAATATATTTTATTGGTTTTTTACAGAGAGGAAGGGAGAGGGATAGAGAGTTAGAAACATCGATCAGCTGCCTCCTGCACACCCCCTACTGGGGATATGCCCACAACCAAGGTACATGCCCTTGACCGGAATCGAACCTGGGACCCTTCAGTTTGCAGGCCGACGCTCTATCCACTGAGCCAAACCGGTTAGGGCAGAAAATAGGATTCTACTAAGTCTCCTATCTACCTACTCCAGAACTTCTGTGAGGATCAAATGAGATGAGGCATGGGAAGACGTTTCATAAACATTTGGTTAAACTGTAGAATGTTTGTACCTGGCTATAAAGCAAGTTGGGTTCCTGGGCTGAAGAAACTCCAAGGAGGCTAGTCACTAGGGAGAGAAAGCTGGGTGTTGCTACGTGATTACCCGGTGCCCACAGCCACCATTTCCGGGCTGGGCTGGGCTGTGGGCCATATTTTGCGCCATGAGGTCTTGGCAGCATTGGCTGTGATTTGGTGGGGTGTCGCTCCAGGGTGGTGGTGGGGCTTGTGTCCCACTTGGGGGAAGCCAAGTGTTGGTTTGTTGACAACAGGTCCACGGTGCCATTTATTTTTTTAAACTGCCAGTGTGTGTCATGGCTGCTCCTGTGTTGAGCATCTGCCTCCCTGGTGGTCAGTGTGCATCATAGCTACCGGTTGGATGGATGAACACTTAGTCCTTTATATATATAGATTGTACTTTTCTCTTTACATTGGTAAAAATTGATCCATAATATATTTCCTCAAAAACATATTTATATTTTAAAATTTATTTAACCTTGCTTTTCACTCCTCTATGAAGAATTCATTGTTGCCCTACTCAGTTTGGCTCAGTGGATAGAGTGTTGGCCTGGGGACTGAAGGGTCCCAGGTTTGAGTCAAGGGCACACACCTGGGTTGTGGGCTCAATCCCCAGCAGGGGGCTTGCAGGAAGCAGCCAGTCAGTGATTCTCTCTCAAAAACTGATGTTTCTATCTCTCTCTCCCTCTCCTTTCCTCTCTGAACTCAATCTATATATATTTTTTAAGTTTAGTATTGAAAACAAAAATTAAAAAGAGTTCATTGTTAATCATTCTAATATGCAAGTATTCAATATATTACATTTTGTCTAATGGTCAGTAACTGAATCAGAAGTTTTAGAAGTTCCCAACAGTGTTTCAGAAAATACATGTTGTAACATTGTAGTTCTGATTCTATAGTCTCTATTCTTTTCATGCACCTTTTAAACTTACATTATCAATAATTAGTATGCTGGAGCCAGCTCATACTTGATCCTTCCTTACAAGAGTCAATTGTGCCCATCTGTTCTCAACTTCAAGTTCAGTGATGTCATATTGGTAACTTTAAATTTCCATGGTAGGAATATTTTACACCATGGAAATTGGCAAATGTTACAAATTAAGGGCTACTCCCCTTACCCTCATCCCTAGAAATTTATTAAATATTTACCATGACAACACTGCCAAAAAGTTCCTTTTTGTCATATGAAGTAGATATTTGTTAGGCATTCATGGTGCCATTCATACAAAGGTGCCCTGCTTGAAGGAAGTTTCATATACTAAAAACTAAATGTTGCCCTAGCCGGTGTGGCTCAATTGGTTGAAGTGTCATCTGTATTCAGAAAGGTGGCGGGAGTCTCTCTCATCCATTGATGTTTCTAACTCCCTCTCCCTTCCTCTCTCTGAAATCAATAAAAACACATTAAATAATATAGGGGAAAAAAGAAGAAAAAAGAAAGGTGGCGGGTTCAATTTCCAGTCAGGGATATACCAGGTTTCAGGTTTGATCCCAGGTCAGAACGCAAACAGAAGGCAACTGGTTGATGTTTCTCTCTCTCTCCCTCTCCCTATCCTTCTCCATTTCTGAAATCAATAACAACTTCAGGTTACATTTGTTCCTTTTTTTTTCCCCCCCCTAACTCCCCTCCTCCCAGTTCCCGCCCCACCCTCCGCCCTCACTCCCCACCCTCTGTCCTCATCCATAGGTGCACGATTTTTGTCCAGTTTCTTCCCGCATCTCCCATTCCCCTTTCCCCGCCAAGAATAGTCAGTCCATTCCCTTTCTATGTCCCTGATTCATTATAATCACCAGTTCATTCTGTACATCAGATTATTTATTCACTTGATTCTTAGATTCACTTGTTGAT